CCAATTCCTTCCTCCAGGGACAAACTCTAAACCCTAAACCCTAAACCAACTCTTGCCAGGTCATGTTCCGATCCAGGCGCGCAAGACCCTGACTGCTCCTATCCCGGACCTCTGGACGTCGATGGCTTTCCGACCTTCTTCTGGGGTTCCCAGGTTGCTGTTAAGGAATTTGATTGAAGTTACTATACTGGGGAAGCCCTATTACTTACTACCTATGTATATATACCCATTATGGTAACTTAAGTTAAGTTCCTTAACAGCAACCCAGGTTTTGCCGTCATGCTGACCACTATGGAGGAGCGTTTCGTGAGGGTGGAGGGCTGGGAGGCTAGGGTTATGGCTGCGAGACTGCTACTATAGTATATTGGGGTATATACACGGAGAAAGGAAAAGAAAATGGAAGCTACAGGGATTATAGGGTTTACATAGGGTTTAGGGGTGTAGGGTTTAGTATGCGGGAGTATCAAGGGGGGAAGCGGTGTGTTCAGTTGTACGGGGAGCTTGTAATCTCTTCACGGACTTTTTACTTCCAATCCTTCTCGCTGCCGATTTAGAATGGTATTGGATGCAGGCAGGACAACATTTTGGGGGTTGGGGGTTTGAGCTGTAGAGTTGTGAGTGACGGCCCGATTTGAAGGATTAGCAGGTCTTTGGACTGTCGAGGAGACTATTTGAAAGGCCGCCGAATGATGAACGGTGGCCGTTGGGTTTCAGGGATTCATGCTAAGCCCTTGTTGCTGACCCAACTCCACCACACCCCATTTAAGCATCTGCCTCGCAATTTGTCACAGCAATAAGCGCATAAACAGAAAATTACTCATGTTTGGTGCTAGCTGGGGTCAAGTAAGGCTCTGACAACATTGTGTGGACAGAGTGTTGCAATGTAACGAGCCGAAGGCAAGATGCTAACGCCTCACCAAAATGGACATGGACATGCTTCATAGAACAAACTTCTAGTATGTTCTCAACATCTGAGGTAGCACTGCAGTGGTAAACGAAGAAGTTGGTGTAGAAGTAGTAGTGGAAACAGGCGGTGGCGGTGTTGATGGTCAGGTTGAGACAAAGAGCAATGTCGCAAGAAAGACACGGTGGAGTAGATGCACTTAAGTTCAGTGACCATCCTGTGTTTGTCCTGACCAGGTATGGCTAATGGCTCAAGCTCTCCTGCTGTTTAGCATAGCCATTAGGCCAGACTGCCTTGGCTTCACAACCCTCAACCTCATAAGCCCAACACTACCCAGGACATCCTAGCCAACACCGAGCTCAAATCTCTGGAGACTGGTACACAAGATGCCATTGCCGGCATCAATCGCTTTGCTTTTGAATTGTCCGATCCGACTCTCAGACCTTGGTTGCGGGCTTTGTTTGAAGTTTCTTTGGGTAGTCGACTGGGTGAAACTAGTGTTTCTGAACCCCGCCCCCAACTGTTGATCCCTCGGTACTCAGTAAGGGACGAGAAGCAAGTCTTGCATTAGCCCCACACAAGTTGCTAAGATCCACCCATGCTTTTTTGTAGCATCGCTTCCATCCAGCCCCCTTCCCCGCAGTTTCTTGAACCGACTTTTTGCTGAGCATCGTTTCTGAAGTCTGCCAAGAAAGTTTAGGCATAGTCTCCAATCTCCATGCAAGATTATACCATAACGTTGTATATTATACAATAATATACTATTGTATACCATAGTGTATTATATTATATTAGTATGTACGCAGCTCTGAGGTCTCAGACAGAACAAGCGACGGTATACCAGCGAGAAACTTTCCGAAGCTTCAAATTGTGCAACTGCAGCCGGCAAATCCCGAACACAAAACTCCACAAATGCTCGTTTCCCACAACAAGGTCCCCACATATCATCTCAAGATGTCGTAGATCCATAAGGCAGTCCGCTTCACAAAGACTCAACTCAAGGGGTCTTCTTGCAGAAGAAAATCCTAGGAACCCACATGCTTCGCTGGCTGACGTGGGTGGCATCTGGAAGCAGTCTTCACATACGCAGCCGCTCATAGATCCCGTGCAGGCCCGCTGGTTCCCTTCTTTTGCGGAGCATTGCTTTGGTTTAGGGGCTTGTGTTTGAGAGGTGTGGGGGTTTCGGGGTGGGAAGAAGCCATTAAGAGCCTATTTCTTGCCCTGTACAAGAGAGTCGACGAGACTAGGGTAGAACCGTGTGCTGGACTCATGGAGATTTCTCAACATGGAGCAGCTTGGGGGGCCTACTGTGAAACCATTATCCTGAAGCTGCAGGCCTTATGGAAACCTGAAGAAGGGCAGCTGAGCTTCCTTTTAAAGGCCCTTGAAGAATCATCGTATTCTTACACTTTAATAGAATAGCTCAACATCCCTAAGCCCTACAAACCTTATAAACTCTAAACATTAAAGCCTAAACCCTACACCCTCAACTCTAAACCTAGACCCTGCGCTCTAAGCCCAGAAGCCCCCAGAGCGCCCCAAGCCTTGAAAGCAAAGCCGTAAGCCCACAACACACAGTCAAGTGCTTCAGGGTTTGGGATTTAGAGTTTGGGATTTAGGATTTAGGGTTTAGGATTTAGGGTTTAGGAGCTAGGGTATAGGGTTTAGGGTTGTATACTATAAAACTCCTGCATGTCCCTAAGTACCTTATACCTTGTGAAAAGTGGTACTATCGTAAGGTTAGGTCATGCAGGATTTCTGGTATCAACAGAAGTATTGATTCTACCCCTAACATTATGTTGTGCCCCGAATTCTGCTCTAATGATTTCGGCTGCCATGTACAATCCCTATACCAACCCCGATACAAGCCCAGTGCACGGTTGATGTTCCATTTCTTTGCCATTTGCAACTCCATCTTGTCAAGGGTCACCTGGTAGTCCTCATATGACTCATATGAGCTACTGTCGGTATCAGAAAAATTAAGGGACCGGGACAGTAGACATAGGGGTAGTTCAGCATAGCCCTTAACAAGGAGCCCATGTCCATTCGGACATCATGACTGTAGCTCATATTCTCTCCTTTCAAGTTCCTAAGGATGCCACTTGTTAGGTGGATGTCATGGTGGAGGAGTTCGGGCTCCACTGGACATTACGGATGGCGCCATCTCTCAACGTAGGGGCTTTGGGTTTAGAGTCTGAATATGGGGTTTAGGGGCTTCCGGCTGGGCTCGCCCAGAATAAGAATTGCTGTTGACTGTGAGTGGGTAGGGGCAGAGTCCAAAGTTTAGGGTTTGGGCTTTGGGGTTCGGAGTTTGAGAACCCAAATTTGGTCAATGACCCTGGTGGCCCCTAGCAGAGGGTTTTGCAGCTTCTTGTTTGAAGCGGGGGTTTGTGTTGGTAAGCTATTGTTTTCTCGGCTGATTACAAAGATGGGCTAGCTAGTAAAGAAAGCTTCAACGTGCGATTGCAGGGAGCCTTCAGATGACCGCGTCATGCTTATCTGCAAGTTGCAGCTGCAAAAGGCGTTGGAACATCAACCCCTGATGTCGCATCTAAAGCCCCCACATGTCAGACACTAGTTTTCTTTCTTGCAATCTCTGAACCTTCCTCTCCTGTTGCAAGGAAGGGTTTGCTCCGGGAGCATGATAACTTGGTAAAACATAAATGGAAATGATTTTGATGGTTTAGGATGTAGGTATTCGGGTTTGGGGTTCGATGTTGTGAGAGCAAGCCTGAAAACAAAGTCCTGTTCAGTTCCATGCAACCTTGCATATAAGCATCTCACCCAGTTTTCAAAGTTAGCCAGTGGGATTGTGCCTCATCTTTTCATGCCTTAGCGCGGAAACTCGGTGAGCTTAATTGCATAGTGAGCTGGGGTTATATGGGGTTTGTATAGATGTTATATACTTGAGGGATATTGAAGGTTTATATAGGGGTTATGTAGGGATTATAGCCCAACCCTGCCCAACCGCACTGAAGATGTAAATCGCCAGATAAGAGGCCCCCAGAGCTTCGAACCAGTGAACCATTGAATCTTGAGAGGTGAAACTCAGTGAGCCCCAACAAGTGAAGATCACAGAAGCCTATGCTGACCAAGACGCCCAATCTGCCACGGTTCAGGCCCCTAAGGCCCTAAATCCTTCGTGCCACTTCGCGCAACACAAAGTTTCCTACAGAGTTGCAGACGCTGCGGGGCCCAAACCAGACCCTAAATCCTAAACCCTAAGCCCTAAACCCCTGAAACCCTTAAACCCTCAGCCCTGAAACCCTTAACCCCCAAACCCCAAAAACCCAAAACCCCTAAACCCCAAACCCCAAAACCCTAAACCCCCCTTTGCTCGGGACATCTCAGGCCCCTGCGGATGGCTGGCCGGTGGTCTCTCAAGACTTCTGGAGGCCCCCTCATAGGGCTGTTTAGGGTTTAGGGTTTAGGGTTTAGGGGCTGTAGGGTTATATTGGGGTAATACTGGGCTCATTGGGCTACTGCAGGATCATATTGGGGTTATATTGTTGTATTGGAGTTCTGTTGGGGTTATATTGGGGTATATAATATTCGGGTTAAATCGGGGTTATAATAGGGTTTGTTTAGGGTTTAGGGTTTATATTGGGGTAGTATTGGGGTTCAATTGGGGTTTTTCATTGGGGTTATAATAGGGTTATATTGAGGTTATATTGGGTTTAGACTAGGGTATTGGGGTTATATTGGGTTGTATTGGGGTTGTATTCGGGTAATAATGGGGAGGGTATTGGGTGAATATTGGGGTTATATTGGGGTAAGTTCAGAAACCCCAATTACCTCTCCTGTTTGAACCTTGGTTCGAAATTGCGTGCTCCTTTGCTGGACTTTGCAAGGCAGCTGCTCTTAGTTCTTCCTCTCACCGCGCTGCTTGGCACCTCGGATGCAGATGGAGGCTTTCAAATTGTTCCGGCGTCAGGAGTCAGGAGGTATCCTTCACAGACTTAACCCTGAATCCTAAACCCTGACCATTGCTCAACACTGAATTCTGTCAGCATAGACATGGCTCTGAAGCCCCAAACCCAAATCCTACTACATCCCAAGGCCGAAACCCCAAGCCTCTGTTCGCGCAAGGCTTTACACACTTTCGAGTTTGGGTGACCATGCCGTGGCACTTAGACCCTACCTAAAACCCCAAAGAATGTAAAATAATAGCCCTAAACCAATTAAAACAGCCCAACAGGCTATTGTTTCACATACTTTTGGGGTCCAGGTAAGCTTCTCTGCCCTTCCCCTAAACTAGCTTGGAACCCCATTTCAGCCCCTTCGCAGGATTAGCTCTCTTTTCAGGGTCCGATGCGAAGATTGGACTGGCTGCTATTGCCCAGATGTGCAATAAAGCTTTAGGGGTTTGGGGTTTAGGGTCTGAACGCAGCATGGTGGCTTGGATCTAGGCCAACTGTTTTGAATGTCGTTTTCCTGACTGCTTGCAGTATACGTAGATGCAAGGATGCTTTCGTTTCTTCAGAGCCCTTTTCCTACCCTGAGACCTTCAACCCGTGAAAGTAACTGCCTACAAAACATCCAAATTATCCGAGACCCAAGCTCCCAGCATCATTCCTATCTTCCGAACCTACACTCCACATCTTTAGGCCCAAAAGCCCCCAACCTTTGGCCCCAAAGCTCAGGTACTTTTCTTGGAGTCACCATCATCATGGGTCTGCGACGACATGCATTGAAACTTCAGGACCACACGGAGTCATCGCGGAAGCGGGGGTAGGTTAACCGCCAGGGTGGAGGGTACACCAAGGGTTGAGGGTTCAGCATTGTGAGCCTGAGGTGTTAAGGGCTTGGTGTTAAAGTTTGTTCCCCGGTCGTGGGCTCTCAACACTTGATTGGACAGGAGAGGAACAGAGCTCAAGCGTCAAGGCCTTGGTGTTGAACGGCATGCGTCTCTATCTTCGTAACACCTTGTAACTGATGGGCTCGTGTGTGGTATATGAGAGCACCCTTGAAGCAGGCCTTGTTTGGGCTTCAGGGAAAAAGCATGGGTTTAGAGTTCAGGGCGCTAGGACGTGCAACACCATAGTCCGGTCCAAGCAATTCGGACGAGACGGCACCGTTTAAATACAGACACACTCAGCCCAATCAGCACCGAATAGCAGATTCCAATACTAGCTGCCGAAACTCTACTCCCTGCCTGAAGGCCTAGATGCAACCCCAACCTTTATCCGCAATTCCCCTCAACCATCTAACATAGTCTAACGACGATACTCGGAATAATAACTATGATGCAGCAATAGTCGTAGTAGTAATAGTACAAAAAATCAGCCCCCTTGAGTCCCCAAGATGATCCTAACTGGATTATGAGTACCAGTTGGCATTGGATGTCAAACTCTGAAACTTGCACCGAAGCTGAGATTAAGTATCCTGGCATTTCTTTCGGCCATAGAGCCCAAAGTCAGGAGCCCAAACCATGAGGTCTACCTGGACCCCCAAAGTATGTAGAATAATGGCCTTTTGGGCTATATTTAGGGGATTTGGGCCATTATTTTACCTACTTTGGGGGTAAGGTTTAGGGTTTAGGGGAACCTCCAAACCCCAAGGCCTCACGCCTTGAACCCCCGCATTCAGCCCGTGTTTCAGAGTCCAGGACCTGGGGAAGTATGTGAAGACCCAGAAGGAGACGGCCATTTGTAATGCCGTCCTTAACCTGAATGCTTTCCAATTCCCCATGTACCTGGTGAAAGCCAACGATTTCACGGAGATGGGCCAGCTGACTCGTCACCTGACTGAATCTGACAGCGTAGAGGCTTTGGGTGTTGGGGGTCGAGTTTACGATGGATGTGTGAAATGGTTAGCTGAGGATTTTGCTCCTAGGTAGTCGAGTTTCTGCACAGCCCACGCGCGAACCCTAAGCTGTGCTCTAGGCTGTAGGCTCCTAACACCTCAATCTTGAAGCCCAACCCCTGACCTCAAACCCAAGCCACCCTCCTGCTGAACCCTTAGCTTCAGGTCACGAGACTGCCCGTGAGATGGGCAAGCTATGTTGTTTCGACTTGCCGGAGGAACGTTTAGAAGGGCCGAAGGTTGAGAATTCATTTGCAAGAACGTCTCAGAGATTTTGCTTGTTTTTCTACCAGGGACATAATGTACATGGGGTTGCCATAGAAGAAGCAAGCTCTACTTCGACGGCTTGGCTACGATTTAGCCAAATCAAGCTTTTGGAGCCATGAGAACCCACTTGCGCCACGAATGCTATCCCGTGATCTCATGGCCAGCCCATGCAGGGAAGTTTTCGTGCTCGGAAATCTGTTTACCCCCTACTTATAACAATACACATGATAACCCCTCCCATATGATGCCATTTTCTAGTTTGATATCAAGGGGAATATTTGTTATTAGAAGGGCGGGGCGGGCTATGGACTATTAGGGGGAGGTGAGCATTGCTTGCAACGGGCTTGAGGGTTTTAGGGGTTGGGATTTTTGGGTTAAGGGATTTATGGCATACCCATATCATAATAACCCGAAGCCCGTCCAGAGCTGCAGCGTAGCATTACCCAAGCCCCTCCCATCCTTCCCTGTCGCAGGATGTTGCAGAGATCTCCAACTCAAAGGGCGTTGTGTTCATGAACCTTGGTGCTTCGTTTTCAGCTTCGTGCAGCCCGAGTGACTAAACCCCATTAAACCCTGAGCTTCAATAATTCATGGCAGACCTACCAGACAGCTGGGACGCAAAAGGAGCCTGAAATCCTAAGCCCTTAAACCGCAATCCAGCCCGAGCAAGAAAACCTTGAGGCCCATCCATCCCTCCAAACCTTTACGACTCCTAAAGTCCCTAATGGCACAACCTTGGCATAATCCTTCAAAACTGCTTCTTTTGGCTTCCCATGCCAAGGACTCTATCATCTCAGGGGACATTTTGTGACTTCAATTTTGGCACCCACCCATAAAGGGACTCTACTGGGAACCCCAAACTGGGAACCCCAAGAATATAGTAGGTATGTAATAGGAATATACCTACCAGGGTCCTTATCTTCCATTATATTCCTGCTATATTCTTAGGGTTCCCTATTTGGGGTTCCCAGTAGAGTCCCTTTAACCCATACATCATGAAACCATCTCAGCCCCCCCTAAACCCTAAACCCCAGACCCACTTCTGAGGGGGTAAAGCGGCGTGCTCTCTCACACCTAGTCTGACGACAGTCTCCTGCTGTGGAGAAAAGGTGTGTCAAAAAAAGCAAAAAAACCCAGACCCCCAAAAATCCTAAAAGCCGAGGAGCCATCAGTGGGCTGGATTCGAGCATCCGGACCCTGAGGGTGTGCAGCATCTGGGTAGTGATTTGCGCTTACTAGGGCTTGAGGGTTGTAAGGTTTAGGGTCTAGGGTTTAGGGGGTTTAGGGCTTTGTCCGGGCAACGCATGATAGAGATTACACGGGGCAGTCTGATAGTGATCTATCATTGCCAGCCCTGGTAGCAAGCACTCTCGTTTCTGGAGGATGTATGAAGGAAGGGTATTGGGGTGATGTTGAATTTTGAGCTGTAATTAGCTGTTCAATGGCATAAACAGCATCACACAGCATGAACCCTTTGAAGCTAAGACCTACAACGAAGACAAGCCGCAAAACCTGAAAAACACAACTCCCAAAATTGCCACCGCATGCTGACTGAGAAAAATTTGGAGAACCAGGAAGAACGCCTCCTCGCTACCTCGAATATCCTTGAATAAGGGGGTACGATGCGTTTTGAAACCTTGTCTCTTCAAAGTTCTGTTAGTTTGATCGATGTTGCTTACAATGTGCCTATGCACTCGACTATCCGGGTCCAATGCGTTTTCCGGGTTCCAGGGGCTGCTCAAACACGCTCCCTGCAAAAGACTTTCCGCATAAACATGCGGTCATGAAAACCTTGTGCATTCGGACAACTCGCTTGCTCCCGCAATGCGCAATGTACCTAATATCTACCATCTCGTACTTATACAACCCTGTATGCACCTTTAGTATGATATAGTCCCCCTTAAGTAGATAGAATATGGCTTCGGGTGTATAATGATAAGATCTCCATATACCCCATATTCTATCTACTTAAGGGGGACTAACGTATGGTCCAAGTATGATTGAATCCTTTAGGCTGACTTGCGCATGAAGGTATCGCGCAATGCTCGTCGCCATCGAGGAATTGAAGACCATGCGTGTGTGTTGTGGACACTTGGTCAAGTACTAGCATTAGAGGTAGGGTGCTTCGGGTGATATAGGAACGAAACACCTCCCTCTTAATCTCAAACAAACCCCATCTGCACTCCCTAGTCTTAAGCACGTCTACTGGCTCGTATAGGGAATGCTTAACATGATCAATATGAGCGGGAACCAATGAGTGCTTCGGTTCGGGCGACCTTTGTCATTTGGAGATGCGGAGTTTGACTTACTGTTGGGTCTGTTGGGGTTTTCTCCGGAAGAGAGATACCCTATGCATTCGGCCTATGACCTTTTAACCTGGAGTGAATGTAGCCAAAGCCTGAAACTTAACCTGGTTCTGTATGCCTTCTCACCTAAGACAAGTCGAGCCCTGATGCCTAGATGACGGAGTCTCCCTAATTAGGGTTTAGGGTTCAGGGTTTGGGGTTTATCACCCTTATCTTCTACTCCTAACCCCTAAAGAGACCCCTTCCTGGTAAGCCCCCCAAATGAAACCATGTCCCAGGTTTCATCTGGCTGGATTACACCTGTATCCCGCAGCTCAATCAGTTTCTGCAGCAGGCTACGAGTTCTACGCTTTGGGGTCCATGATTTTTAAGGCTGCTGTGGATCAAGGCATCCTGAGATTGAGACAGCCCCCTCAAATTCATTAAACCTATCCTATATAATCCCTAATCCCCAAACCTACCATATAATCCCTGTAGACTCCCCATTCAATTCCTAAACCTTAAATCCTAA